ATATCTCACAAGTAGTTTTTTACTACTTAAATGTACAATAGAATGTAATTCAAACAGCTAAGAACGTAATCCCGCGAATTCGCTATAATCAACAACGGCAGTTTTCTAAACAAAACAAACTAAGCAACTACACAAACTGAGCTGTTTTCCTCCTTTATAAGATTTTAAAATCACGCGCTAGAATTTTCCAGTACTTTTCTCGAAATCAAAAAAAGATATTTATTTTTATGCACGCGCTCTGTATTTTAATTTTCCGGCTTAGCTTTCTTTTAATATCCGTCACGCGATGCATGCGCGAGAAATAAAAACATTAATTATAATTGAACTAACATTAGCTTTTTAAATACCAAATTCGTAACAATATTATATACATTAGGAGTAATACAGTCAAAAGTCGTTAATTCGGACACCTATAATCCGGAATAATCTATAATCCATACTTCAAAGCTACAAACTTTCTGCGCATGTGTCGCCTTGATGCATGCGCATAGGCATTTACGTGTGCGCGTAAGACCTTTGCGGCTGCGAATATGAGTGTGCGCATGTACATAATACGTTTACGCATGCGCATTTAATGTATAACGGACGGTTTAAGCTAAGCTAAAATTATCTAATTCAGTTAATGTTGCAGAATGCGTTGTTCCTTAATCTTCGAATTGGATCAGGCTTATTATTTTTTGCAAACTGTTAGAGCAATTTTATAAAAGTAAGCTTGAACTTTCGTTTATGTCCAAAGGAATTTCGATATATATTACTAATATGTAAAAGATCTACAAAGCGAAAGTATGTTTCAAAGTCCATTAAACAAAAAGTGGAATTGCTGCAAAAAATGAATAAAGGCATATCCTTCGTTTCTCTAACTATTCCGAAATCTGTTTATCAATTTCACGCTGCTCTGCAGCGAGTGGTGGGGGGGGGGGAAACGCCGCGCGCTATGAATTGGAAGTTGATCTGTCAGCACTATACTCATCTTCAGGGCAGATGTTTTTATTTTATTTGGCTTATAATTCCTGACTAAGTGTAGTATTTTAACAGAAGTTATTGAAAACGAAAAAATTTCGATTGACAAATTAGTCGGTATTCTCGACATAGCAATTATAGGACTTTAACAGCGGAACTTTGTAACTGAAGAAGAATTATAATCTGTTTAGAATAAAGAGAAAGTATTATCACATAAAATGAAGCAACTTAAACAACTTACATTAAAGAAATATTTAATAAAGTAATAAATAAATATTAACCTTTTTTCATAAATTTGATACCTTTAGATCATAATTGCTCTTTATTTCATAATTACAGTTTCACATTTTTAATTTTAAGCGTGAGCTATTATTCAATTAAGCTATTAAGGTATTATTTTAAATAAGAGGCTTATTTAAACCTCTGTCTGATATTGTAGTTACTTTCAGGCATAGTGATAATTTGCTTCACATCTATCAGGGGTTTTGGACTATTTAACTTTTACCAGATCAAGTAAACCCTCATAGGTGCATTGTGGAGTGGTTGACAAGTTAGGAGATAAAGCATGCAGAAACTATTGAGAGCATTGGCTTGCATATTGAGGCAAATCTTTAATTATTGTTAGAAAAGATGCTTAAAGAGAAGGAAATCAATATAAACTAGCCAAAATATTTGAGAAGGCTTCAAATTAAAATGATGGATTTTGTCGAGTGTTGTTGTTACAAACATATATGTTTTGCAGCTTTTGATGTGTAATTATTCTAATATTGTTTAAGAATCAGTTTCATAAATTACATGTATTTTAAACTGTGAAATTTTATTAGATTTTGATTTTAATAGGGCTTTTTTAACAAATATTGTAAAAAAAAATACAATTTAATAGTGGCCCTGTTTACCTAATTTGATTATTTATAACTAACTGCTTACCCTTAAAAATTATCTCCATATATTAAAGCGAGTTATTGGCTTTCCATTAATACTCACTGTGGCCACAAGATAAAACACAAAAATGTAGAAATTCAAGTAAAACTTATTCTTTGCATCTAGTGAGACTTAAAATAATACAAAACAACTTATCACTTCTGGTGCTTGAATGGCTTATTGGAACCTGAAAGTATATTAACTGGGTTACAACCCCTGGAATTCTGCACAAAGCTGTGACACTAACTGCATCAAACAGAGCCTGACTAACTTTAAGCACTTGCTAACTGTGCCTACATCAGGCCTTTCAAGTTTGTTCTTATCAGCAGGTCTCTCTCTAGACAAGCAGCAGCGGTGATAATATTGTCTTTTGTTTATGAATCATGCTGAGTATGATCTTACTTCTCATTTTAACCTATGCTGTTTAACATAAAATCTACCTGCTATTTATTAAACCTCTAGACCAGTAGTTCTCAACCTTTTGACTAACGTGTACCATCTAAACAAAAATTGAAAACCTTTAGTACTACCACTACAAAGTACTAACACCACCAGTCTTGAACAAAGCTCAGATCACATAAATTTATGAGTGTTAGAGAAAAAACTCAATCAGGATTTTGGGATTTTAATTGTTGAAATAAATAGTTAAAAATACTTTGTTTCTTTGTGTACCACCTATTTTTTTCTTGCGTACCACCGGTTGAGAACCTCTGCTCTAGACCGATCAAGTATGTGACAAAATGAGGCATAAAAAAAATCAACATGAAGCTAACTATTAGTAAAACGTAAATGTCACTTATCTTCTTTCAAATATGTTCAACTTATTGTAAGTGTAAAATATTTAATGCTGCTTGATAAACTGCATGAAGTTTATTTTATTCTCAAACTTATTAATAATTATGTTAATTCATGTTTAGTAATAATGCATACTACTTAAGGATCTATTTTATTTTTAGGATGATATTACAAAAGTGAAATTCAGGCATAGAATTTATTAATTTATTTTTAATTGAATTTATTCAGTCCCCATTTGCTCATAGGTCCTTAATTTTTTTCATTATTGGTCCTTAAAAGTACTTAATTTCGGTATGCAGAAATGTGTACGAACCCTGTTATCTCCACTTTGGATAAAAAAAATGGAAAATATTCATATAAATAATAAAGTGTTGAAAAGGGCTTCAGAGTTCAAGCAGTTGATTACTAAGAAGTTTAATGGTAAATAAAAGTTATTGCAATTGAAAGGTCAGAAGTTACAGGATTAACACATTTGACTGGGCATAGAATTTGGCAAGTGGCTTAAAAACAGTATGGCAAAGGTAAGATTGTGTTCATGTTTCTTCAAGGAAGGAAAATTTAGGCAAATATAAGAACTATTCTGAATAGTTAACCAAGTATGGAAATTTATGAAAGTTTAAGGAAGTGTCTTAACATGAGTTAAGGAAGTTTGTGTCAGCCAAATTTAAAGAAGTTTCTTAACCAGAATTAAGGAAATGTATTAGTTGAAATTACGGAAGTTAAAGGATTATCAGCTACTTTAGTTACTTCACAAGAAGCCTTGGTATATATCTTGCGTCTAGTTGAATTTCCTTTTTACTAATTCAGTATTTATTAGTTGTAAATATATATTATGATTTCAGACAAAAATAAATTCTAAATATGCACCATATTTTGTGGTAGAGGAAATATTTTTTAATTTGATATTCTTTGTACTTCTATCCTGCTATAATTAAAAATATTTTAACCTACTACTTTGATAGTTTTTTGAGTCCAAAGGGATGGTTTGCTCAGAAGAGATATTAATTCGTTTTGGCATTTTGCATTGATTCACAGTAAATTTTCGAATCAGTTTTTAAATTGTTGCCACCAAGTATTAGAGCCCTGTTTTATATTTAAAGAAATTAAATAATGAAGAATTTGCATAAATGTATATATGTTTCTCTCACTGTGATAAAACAACGGTACCTAGAGCCATGAAATTCTGAATAATGTTTGTCTCTAGCCGAATATTTTCTAATATTGAAATTCCAATGTTACCAATTTTTCTAAGTTTATATTTTAAAATTTACATCTCTTTGCTAAATTCAACTTATTTGTTTAGGTGAAATTTAGGACTGTTCTCTTTTCTTGTGTCTTTTTTTCAGAGTTTAAATATAATTTTGTGTGTAAAGTCATAATTACGAGAATCCTTTGAATACATTTAAGCTGGAGAAAGGTTTCTTTGCAGATATATCTGGAATATATATGGGCATCTGGGAGCACAAATTTTGAATTTGTTTTATTATCTATTTCATATTTTGTAAACCAATTATGAGTTTTTAATTAAGAAACTCAACAATTTCAAAGCACGCAATGGCAACAGTGTTTGGGGGGGGGATTGTCTGTGCATTGGAAATTCTAAAGATATGTGCTTTTAAATATTTTATGATATTGCTGTTATATTGAATTTTATGGTTTAAGTAGGAAGAACATATTTGATAAGTAAAGCCCCTTTTGGCATAATATAAAATTTGAAAGCTTTCAGATTTTTAATTTAATTTTATGTTCTGTTTGTATATAAGTTTTGAATGGATATAGGTTATATTGGAAGATGTATGTTCAGGGCTGGCTTTATCAGGTTTGCTGCTCTGGATAATTTTGTTTTCCAGGTCCCTTTTTAAATTAGAAAATTGCTCGATAATGTTATTTAGTATTGATGTCTTCGTAGTGCTTTTTCATTTATTCTGCCAGGATGGTTGCATAGCAGTTTTGCACTTCTCTAAATCAGTAATATGATATTTATATAATCAGATCGATGTAAAACATGAATCTTTTTAAATAAATCTAAGTTCATTTTCTAGATTGCTTTTAGAGGCTTCATGACTTGCCAAAAGATAAGTATTCTTTGAGAGAGATATGAAATAATTAATGGACAATCATAACTTAACCTCTTCCAAAGTGTTATTAGAAAAGTGTGTTCAAAATATTTTTTCTCAAAATGATTCTGTAAATCTGTAGTTTGACATGATTTTGATATATTAATTAAAAATGCAATAAATTAATTTTTATTGATATAAAAATGTATATTGTATTGATATTCGTGGTATATTTCTATTAAATAAAGCAAATTTTATATTTCATAGTTAAATAATTTTATTGCAGTTGTAACTGGAGGCACTGATGGCATTGGTAAAGCATATGCTCGAGAATTAGCCCGGCATGGTTTGGATATTATCATCATAAGTAGAAACAGAGATAAACTAGAAAGAACAGCTAGGGATATAGGTAATATATATTTGCATTCACTTATATAGAATTTTGAAATGTTATTTGGAGGATGACGGTAATTAAAATTTTTTGTCAACTAGCAGTATTTAATAGCTAATTTTGGGAATTATTTTTCAATTTTTCAACTTCTTTCTTTTTTCTTTAATTTTTTGTGTATCATAATGTTTCAAAATACAGTAAAAACCCAACTTTCTGGCATTCAACTAACTGGAATAGTTTAAAATTTTTTAAAAATTACTTATGCTGAAAAATTTAGTAAATGACAGATATGTAATGCTGTTATAGAGCTAGTAATTTTCTTAATACATATATTGTCACTGAATAGTGCAATTTAGTGCCAACAATAGATCACAATGCAATCATAAGTTCATTTTGGTGTGATATTAATCTGATCAACTTTTGATAAGCTGGTTGTTTTTGTAAAGAAGGGTATAAGTTCAGTTTTTTCCTTGCATTTTGAAAAAAATGATTAATATTTGGGACTGCATGAAGTGCAGTATTTTCAAAGTTGCAGGATCCAGGCATTAAAAAAAGTCATGGTATGGGACTTTAAAAAAGATAAACCATGGCAATGTAAAGTGAAAATTATGATAAGCAAATTAAGTTTTTATATGCTATATCTGTAAACTGAATCTCATTATTTAACTATATAAAAAATGATCCATTTATTTTAAACTTCTACCGAAATGATTGGCAAAGATGTCTGCCAAGAGTTTTATCTCATTCAGAATTCTTATGTTATTGATATGTTGATATTAAAAGTAGTTAGCAGAGGAATATTTCTAAGTTGGTAGAAAGTTTAATTTCTGTATATAGTATAAAATCAGCAACCTTTTGGTTTGCCGGGCGCAAGCAGAAAGTCTCCAAATAATTTAGGCGAACTTACAAACCTGACAGGAATTGTTCACCATCATTTCATAATTCATTTAAAATAAGCAACACCTGTTTTTACTATTACACAAATTTGGTATTAAAAACTGCTGAAAATTTAGGACTTGCCATGAAGTGAAGAGCAGGCCATGTTTTCTTAGAGGGATATTGGCAACAAATTCAACTTGTAAATCAAAATTGTAAAATGAAACTTTAATTTTTGTGACTGAGTTAGATGGTGGTGTAATGATTTTACCTATTTGCAGAAAGACAGCAAGAAGAGTATGCATATTTAGGAAGAATAGAATAATTAAATATGAAAATATTTCTTCTTTCATATAATAAATACTTTTTCTTTGTATATTGATGAATGTTTTTTGCTTTGTTTTGGGTAATGGCCATTTTGTTCTGGTCACTTGTGCAAGTAATCCTAAAACATCACACACACACACACACAAAAAAAAAAAAGTTGGTGGGATTTGTGCCCAGCTAACCAAAAGTACTTAAAATTGACTTATGTTAGCATATCTTCATTATTTCATGAAATAATATGCTAATTTAATGCATCAATAAACAGTTAACTATCTGAAATCATGGATATATTTGAACTTGATGCAAATTAATTTTTGACCTCCTCCTTATTAACCCTCTTGCTGTGCATCTCGCGATTTCCACAGGCAACATAGAAGTAGCAAAATTTACGAAAACGGGATTTCTTCAGGGATGAATTTTTGCCGTCTATTTAACTGTGCAACCCGCTCTTTCCTAGTTCAAGGTTTCCTTTCAGCTTCTCTGTGATGTTTAATTGTTTATTACTAAACTAACAAATGGTGTTGGTTGTCCACATTTCTGCCAAATATACAAGAGTATGTAATGTAGCATTTTGCACGCGCTTTTCAGAATTCAAAGATGTCTGGCAGGAAGCGTTTCGTGAGTGATATAACCTATATTCCTGATGATATTTCCGACACTGATAGTAGTTTTGACTCTGATTTCAAGTACTATATTGAAGGTAGTTATAGCGAAACTGATGAGAATTTATCGGATTCCTCTGCAGATAATGATGAATCTGAAAATTCAGTTTCTATTGAAAATGTTGGACAGTGGTGCAAACTTTATATGCAAAATATTACATTATGCAATATTTTCACTAGATATATGTTTTACCTTTGTATTTTTAAAAATAAATCATAATTTAACAATATTAATTTCAGAATTTTCCTTTTATATCATATTCTTCATTTTCAGTATTCTGAAACCTTTTTCTTAATCTACTTATATTTGGAAAAAAAAAAAAAAAAAAAACTTTTACAAAAAATTTTATATTTACTTAAAATATACTAGATTGAAATATGTAATAAAAATATGCGCAATTTTTGAACCTATTTTGATAAACGTACGCAGTGAGAGGGTTAATCCCTTGCAATATACTATTTTCATTTCACTTAGAACTGAGTGTAAGGAAATATTGACATTTGTATTTGCATTGTTTATAATTTTGAAAAATATTTTACTGACCTAGAATTCAAATTATGAGTTTTTATTGTGTTATTAAATATTTTATACATATTTTTTATTTGTAGAAAAGGATTTCAATGTCCAAACCTTCATCATACAAGCTGATTTTTCTCGGGGTCGAGAAATATATAACCATATTTCTGAGCAGCTGGCTGTAAAGAAATTGGCATTCTAAGTAATTTGTTTTCTTTATTTGAATTTAACTGTCCAATTAATAAATTACATGTGAAATTATAGTTTTTCTTTGAATTTGACCTATAGGCAACTTATTTTTATTGAAGATACTTTTCCTTTTATAAATATTTTCCTCGTGTTTATGCATTAAGAAAGAACAAGTCAGAATCAATATATTGTACAGTCAAAAGTTGTTAATCCGGACTCGTCGGGACTTCGGCGATTCCGGATTATCGATTTTTCCGGATTATAGATCATCAGTTTAAATCTCGTAAGATGGCATGCAGAAATTCTAAAATTAAAAATATGAACCTGTAATTTATGAAATAAAAAACAATTATGATCTAAAGGGTATCAAAATTTACAAAAAAAAAAAAAAAAAAAAAAAAAAAAAAGCTTAATATTTATTTGTTTACTTTATTAAACATTTCTTTCAATGTAAGTTGTTTAAGTTGCTTCGTTTTATGTGATAATACTTTCTCTTTAATTCTATAAAACAGACATAATTTCTTGTTCAGTTACAAAGTTCCGCTGTTCAAGTCCCGTTAATTGTTGTGTCCGAGAATACCGACTAACTTGTCAATCGAAGTTTTTCGTTTTCACTAACCTCTCTGTCACATTCTTCATGCCTTTATCCATTTTTTGCAGCAATTCCACTTTTTGTTTGTTGGACATCGAAACATACTTTCGTTTGTAGATCCTTTGAAAAGTTCCAGCATCGGAAATTCTATTTGACATAATCGAAAGTTCAAGTTACTTTTATAAAATTGCTCTTACAGTCTGCAAAAAATAAATAAGCCGGATCCAATTCGAAGATTAAGGAACAACGCAATCATTAACATTAACTGAAATAGATAATTAGATAATTTTAGCTTACACCGTCCGTTATACATTAAAACGCGCACTATTTGCACTGCGCACATATGTAAGGTCTTACGCGCATGCATGTGCAGAAGTTTTTAGTTTGAGGTCATAAGATCATTCCGGCCGAAACGACTTTTTGTTGGCAGTGGTGATAAAGGCAAAGCAGTTTTGCTTCCCTTAAATAAGCTAAGACTAAACTAAATAAAATTCCTTGCTTTATTCCGTAAATAAATAAAAGAGCTAACACTGTAGCCTTTACATTTAAAATCATTTGAGTGAAAGCAAAACTAGCATAATGCTAACTCATAATCAACACAGAGAACAAGAAACAAGAAACCATTCGCCGATACCGGCGTACATATATATATACGGCCAACCCGCCGATCTTGACGTCATCGGCCAATCAGCGGCAACCACGTTAGCTTACCGCCGATCGACCTCCGATCAAAATTTGCATGTGGAAAACTAAAGCCAACAAACGGCCCTCTTTTCCCCATGCAAAGACAAAAAACAAAACTTTCACAGAAGTTCATAGTTCAATTCTATTATACGAAAACACTTATTGTCTTTAAAACACTGAAAACATCTAAACAAAACTTTCTTAAATTAACAGCAGTCGCTGCTTTTGTAAATAAGTCGGCAGTATTTAATTTACTGGTGATAAATTCAAGGTCAAACACTCCATCATTTACTAGTCTTCTAACAAAGTGATATTTTACGTCTATGTGCTTAGTTCGGCGATTTTCTATTGGCGATCTAGAAAAATCAATGGCAGACTTGTTATCACAAAATAGTTTACACTCTCTTAAATTAAACTTTAAAATTTCATCTTGTAAGACATTTTTCGTCCACATTAATTCCTTCGCTGCTTCAGATAAGGCGATATACTCCGCTTCCATGGTTGATAAACTTACACATTTTTGTTTAACAGTTTTCCAGATTACCGGTACTTCATCTAAATATAATATAAATCCTCCCATGGACACGCGGTCATCTCTATTACTTGCATAATCAGCATCTGAATAACAATATAAATTTAGATGTTTAATCTTTGATAAGTTTTAACTTATATAATTTAGTACTATTGAGATAACCAAGCAATTTCAACAATGCTTCCCAATGCCTAATTCCAGGATTCTCCTGAAATTGTGATAAGATATTCACTGCATATGTAATATCAGGCCTTGTCCTGTTAGCTACAAAAACTAAACATCCTAACAGATTTCTAAAGGGTAATGTATGCATTTCCGCAATTTCTGCACTTGTAGATGGACAATCTAATTTTGTAAGAATAGTGCCCTTAGCTATGGGAAGTGAAGTTATTGGTATCTGGAAATGTTTAAATTTTTCAAAAATTTCTTCGATATATTTTTGCTGATGTATAAAAACCCCATTCTCATTCTCTAAGAATTCAATTCCAAGTAACGTTTTAGTTTTGCCTAATACTTTAAGATCAAAAAACTTACTCAGCTGTGAAATTACTTTATCTATACTATATTGATCTTTACTAAAAATCACAATATCATCTACATATAACAAGAGAATTACATTTGAACCCTTATAAACACAATTACACCATTGTATTTTCTTAAAATGTAGATTTTCTAAAGTACTTTCAAATTCACAAAACCATTCACGGCCGCTTTGATGTAGACCGTAAATGGCCTTGTGTAATAAACACACTTTATTTTTCTCTTCGATAAATCCCTCTGGTTGGGTCATATATATTTTCTCATTTAGGTTTGCATATAAATATGCGTTCTTTACATCTAACTGACAATTAGTCCATCCATATAAACATACCAGTATAGTGAAAAATATTCTTATGATTGAAAAATTTACTACAGGACTGTAAACGTCATCAAAATCTTCACCTCTTTCTGCCTGAATCCCTGTGCTACTAAGCGTGCTTTGTATCTAACCACTTGATTCTTTTCATTTCTTTTTAGCGTATAGACCCATTTGTTTCCTATATAGTAGTTTATTTTCTGGCTTTTCGACTAATTCCCAAACCTTTCTTTTCTTTATTGTGTCGAATTTCTTCTTTCATTGCCTTATCCCATTCTTCGGCATTTACTGATTTTCGTGCTTCTTTAAAATTTTGTGGGATAACTATTTCTACGGAATTTGCCTCTTCAGACACAGAGCTAGTCTCCTGTTCTACGAAATTAACTTTCCCCGAGTATTCGTTTTTTCCACTAAAATCGAACTTATCTTTTTCATATTTAATATTTCTTGCCTCACAATACTTTTCAATATCATTATAGGATCTAAAACGGGTGTCTGTTCCCTCTACATAATAATATATGTCTGTACGTGTTCCATCTGGCCTTTTAACTGCTTTTCTTTGCCAGTTTAAGTCTGATACTTCTTTCGGAGTAGATTTGTCATCTGACAACTTTATTTCTTCTCTAGAAATTTCCTGTTCTTCATCTGATTCTGCTAATAGCTCAGATTCCTCTAGTCTTTTAAATTTAGGTTTTTGATTTCTGTTCCAGGATGCCATTTGCTGCATACAGTTGTTTTTCATCGAACTTCACATTACAGGTTTCTATTAATTTGCGTTCTTCTGGCAGCCATATCCTATAACCCCTAGTTTCCTTCGCATATCCTACCATGATTCCTTCTTTGCACCTCATTTCTAATTTATTTCCTAATCTGTTTTGGCACGCCCAACATAGGCTTTACAACCAAATACTTTAAAATAAACAACACTGGGTTTTCTATTTAGGAAACATTTCATAAGGGGTTCGGTTGCTTTTATGACATACTCTGTTCCACGTATGTACGAAACAGCCAAGAGCTTCTGCCCACCATTCTTTTCCCATTTTACCGTCATTAAGCATAGCTTAACGCTACCGGCGTAGTCAAAAGTCTTTAATCCGACTCGTCGGGACTTCGGCGATTCCGGATTATCGGTTCGTTTAAATCTGGTAAGATGGCATGCAGAAATTATAAAATTAAAAATATGAAACCGTAATTTATAAAATAATGAGCAATTATGATCTAAAGGGTATCAAAATTTACAAAAAAAGAAGCTTAATATTTATTTGTTTACTTATTAAACATTTCTTTCAACGCGCGCATGCGTGAAGCATACCTTACACATAGCTGAAATTAGAAAATTGCAACCAGAAAACTATTGATTTGTATTCGTGATATTTATAATGACGAGGAATTTGATTTAAATCATATCAAAGACGGAGTACATCGAAATTAAACTACCTTTAGTAAAGATTATAAGCCGAATAAAAAATAAAAACATCTGCCCTGAAGATAACGATAGTGCTGACAGATCAACTTCCAGTTCATTGCGCGCCGCTACGTCCCCCCCCCCTGCGCAGAGCAGCGTGAAATTGATAAACAGATTTCGGAACGGTTAGATAAACAAAGGATATGGCTTTATCCATTTTTTGTAGCAATTCGTTTTTTGTTTGATGGACATCGAAACATACTTTCGTTTTCTAGATCCTTTGGGAGCTCCAGCATAGGAAATTCTATTTGACATAATCTAATTTTAAAGTTCAAGCTTACTTTTATAAAATTGCTCTTACAGTCTGCAAAAAATAATAAGCCGGATCCAATTCGAAGATTAAGGAACAACTCAATCATCAACATTAACTGAAATAGATAATTAGAGCTTATACCGTTCGTTATACATTAAACGCGCACGCGAAAACGTATTCTGCGATTGCGCAAACTCATATGCGCAGTCGTAAATGCCTTGCGCGCACGCATAAAATGCCTATGCGCATGCGCAGAAAGATTTTAGCTTTGAGGTCCGGATTATAGATCATTCCGGATTATGGGTGTCCGAATTAACGACTTTTGACTGTATATACTCGGCCAACCCGCCGATCTTGACATCATTGGCCAATCAGCGGCAACCATGTTAGCTTACCTCCGATCAAAATTTGCATGTGGAAAACTAAAGCCAACACTTTTGACTGTATATAAGTTTAGTATAAACACGAAATCTTTGTTGGATATATTGAAATGTTTATCTTATTCGATTACTAAAGCATATAATTTTGTATGTGACTTAACAACCGAGAGCTTTGAATTAAAGTTTGACGTATTTATGTATAAATTATATGAACTGCCTAGAATTTCTCTACAAAAGTTAGCTTCCTTTTA